AAAATGATCCACTTTGCAGTCATTCTGATGACTGTCTTTTTGTGTTGTAGACTAACTTTCCACCTTTCCACCAGTTTAGGTACCTCTAAGCATCCAGTATAACCAGCAGAATGGGGTATTATCCTTTCCAAAAAGTGTTTAAACCCAATATCTTGTTACCGAAAGGGATTTTCTGCATCATATTACCTTTATTCACGCGTGTGGGTTATATTTTAAAGATTATCAGCATTCCAGTACTTTTTTTTTAAACCAGCTTCAGTACCTCTAAAGGGACAAATGCATTTTTCTCCTGGCCAAAGAAGTGATTACAACTAATGTTGTTTACTGAATGAGGGTTTCTGCTTCATATTACATTTATATCACTCTTAAGAGTTATATTTTAAAGATGATCATAAAGGGGTTTTACACCAATGCTGAATGGGATCTAATGCTAATCGTAGCAGAGCTTGACACCTGTCATCGCTGGGATCAGCGGAACACAAACCGGGTGATGAGGCTCACTGATCACACCCTAGTGCCCCTGTGGCTGAACAGGACCACAAATTTGCATCTAGGGTGCAAAATCCTGTGGAACCTGTTCCTAGAAGAACTGAAGCTGTGATGCATGACACTGTCAATATTTGTCCACATAGGCTACGTTTGTTTGGCACAAACTCAAGGTTTAAAAAAATGATAATAATCACATGGAGGTTTTACCCAGAGTATATGAATAATACTAACCTGATAAATGATAGAACACACTATTGATGAACTAATGAAAAGTTAGAGGGCAGGGATGGACTACTGAATGGGCTGACTGGGCACAGGCCCAGGGGCCCCAACAGACCAGAGAACTGTGAAGGGTTTGTAAACCTTTGTTGGCAAAGCAATAAAATGACTACAAGACGACTACTAAAAGGAACAAAAGGAAAAACAAATAGATGCAAAACAACTATGCAACCACTAAATACTTCATCTGTCAGTGTAATATTAGTGCTACAGTGCTACTGCATTATTCTCAATTTGTTTAGTTTAAGATTTTTTTATCCAAAAGTAAACGATCAATATTCAACTTCTTAGTTTGTTTATGACTGTTAGAGAAGCTACAAGTGATTCATAAACTTGTAGGATCCTGGTACTAAATCTCCGCCACCAGGGGGCGTCACTAGCACGTAGCTTTCACCTGAACTTGTTATGATGGGGATGCTGTGAAGCCTTCAGGAAACGAAGCAGCTATACACTACAAATACGATTGTTTTTTTGTTTTTTTTATTGTAAGAGCTGAAAACATTTCTGATAGGGAGGAAAAAATCGGCCAGATGACAATAACCAAGCAATACAAAAACCTCGAAATAGCTTTTTACCCCCAAGGTTGGAAAACGCTGAGGGGGAAAGGAGTGGTTTGGAATGAATGAGTTTAATATAGAGTCACGGTCTTTGCACAATGAGCCCGTGGTTGATTTCTTTGGCCCTGGGAGCAAACTGTTTGGATGGGGAATGATCACCGAGATCACCTTTTAAACAACAAGCAATGAAGGTTTAAAAAAGTTGTTGGAGTGCGAAAAGGGACAAAATGCTTTGTTCGAGAAACGAAAAGCGCGGCGGACAAAAGGCCTTGTGAGAATTTTCCCCTGCTGATTGACCTCGACCTTCAGGAGGCAGCGTGACAGTCGCAGTGCACATCCATCGCTACAGACATTATCATCATCGTCATCATCATTATTAGGCTGTTATTATTATTTTGGGTCTCAGTGACAACAGGGATACATTTCAAGTGCAAATGCTCATTATGCAGAATGTCCTCTTTCAGATGAATATAGGCTTATGATGCATTATGTGTAAGTTTTAGTAATGTGGCATCCGGTGAAGCTGAGGCTAATTTTACCTACACATAATATAGGCTCCTGTCTGGCCCCCCAGTAATAAGACTGATAGTTAATTATACAATGAGTGGACACCTGTTACAATCCAATGCTGTCCCATACATCGGCAGGACCCTCATAATGTTTTGTCTAAATTCAATTATATTTTTATTATTGAGGTAAAATTAAACTGTGTTTTGCATATTATATTGTGAGGTGATTCTAATTTGTCTACACAGGGCGGGCAGAACATTAGGAACACCTCTGAATATGATGCAGCCCAGTGTAAAACCATCATGACATATAATGGAATTACCTCTGAAGATTAGACATCATTACAGTAGACTTAATGGCAGTTGTATTATATTTAATTACAGTATAGTTGTGTCGAATAAAGTGGACGCTGAGTGTAGGTTATGGTGTATTAATAATTTGAATCTGCAAAGTAGTGGAGATCAAAAATCAAGTGATGTCCAACATTTGTACTAGACACTTTAGTTAAGTAGAAATTGGCATAAAGTAGTATAAAATTAAAATACTCAAAAGTACAAATGCCACAAATCTTACCTGGGTAAACGTAATGATGCGCCAGCAGAAGAATTAGCATTACAGAATCCCTAAAAAAATTTAACCCTGCATCCTTTGAATGGTACAAAAACCCAGATTACATTGACTGACAACATTTTTGATACTTGAGTCACAGGGTTGCATATCCAGATGTGGTCCAGATCAGGTGCATGCTGTTACATTAAATTACTGAACACACTGTTGCGTATTATCCCATTGAAAGTTTGTGTTTGAAGTTTATATCACTGGACCTACACCATGATTATACACAGACCTGCCCCACCCCCACCCTCCTACACAGGACAGACTTGTTCACACATGTGTGTGTGTGTGTGTGTGTGTGTGTGTGTGTTTGGCCTTTTTTTTATTTTGCTTATGGTCATTTTCCATATTTTTTTAAAATAATTTTGTGTCTTTTATGATCATTTTTCCTTAATTTATTTGATCTCTTTGAAGTAATGTGTCTCTTATGGTCATTTTTCATCTCTGAAGTAATCTCGTGTTTTAATTGTAATTGTTTATCTCTCTGAAGTAATTTTATGCTTTTATCTTGCCACACAACTTTGATGTAATTTCATGTTTGTTTGTTTTTTGTTTACAATTGTGGTTGTTTTGTGTCTCCGTTTTTGTTTTGTGTATTTTAACTGAGCTCTATGACTTTCAAAATAAAAATCTGTCACTTCATGCGTAAACACAGGCCCTGGGCCGCCGACTCCTGGGTCCCTGGGTCTGTCCTGTAATCCATCCATGCCTGTGACTTTTGTTACCAGGAAGGTGTTTGGAAGGCTGCTCAACATGAAGCGGGACACATCTGTATTTATTTATCGCAGTCTATGCTGTGAGCCTGATGCTGTTTGATTTTCTTCACCAATTTCAAAATGATTGTTCTTATGAAAAGCTATGGGAATTAATTTATATAGACTTCCTGACAAACAGAAAACAGGTGTTCAAAGCAGGAGGCAAAAGACCCTTAATACTGGTTTTAAAGAGCAAAACCTAGTGGAGGATTTCTGCACGCTGAGAGGTGACACTTGTAAAATATAGCCTACACTTAACATTTAAAGTAAATTCAAAGAAACCACATCAGAGGGTCTGTCTTCTGCTCCTGATAATGTGAATAACGATTCTCTTTGGCATAACTGTTGTACAAAATGATCACAGAAAGGAGAGGTTTCAGCAACATCTGTGACCTTCTGGCTTTATCACGCTACATTTTAGTTTCCTCTGCTCTGTGAGAGGTTTCAGAGTCTTACACATAAAAGTGTTTGGACGTAGACAGGAACCTTCTAGGAGAATATAAACACTTGTATCAGCACTGGATATATGACAGTTCAGTCCTCTATGCATTTATTCTGTGTGTTTTATCAGTCTTTAAACTAGGTGTTTATTGAAATCTAGTTGTTCTTGCACTAAAATTATTTACAAGAACAGTTTGCGGTGGTCTTACCCCTGGTAAATTATAATCTTATAGAACACGGTTATAGCCGTTTAGATAGCTTTCATGGTTTCACGCTATACAGCACATGAGTGTATGATGACAGATCCAGTCACAATAAAGCAGAAGGCTATAGTCAAGGCTGCAGCCCGTCCTTCAACACACAACACAGCCAACACTGAAAGAGCCTTTACGAGTTAACGACACTTGTCTAACAACTCAACTTGTCAAAATATTCTGAAGCCGAGAAGGTCTGCCCATCATGGACAAATAGGCAACAGTATTAAATGCTTTCTGAAGATAAGAACAAATGATGAGCCATTATATTTCTTTCACAACAGCCCACAAACAAATAACTTGTGAGATTAGTGAAACATAATGTGCAGGGCCTATGAGCCGACTACTACAAGTCAGAAAACAATCTGGTAATTAAATCATTTTACTAGGCCAAGCCACGCTCACGCACACGCACACACAGTAGAGAAGTGATTTCTGTGCCCCAGACCACCTTCACGGGAGTCTTTTCTTTGGAGAGGGACCCACGGTCGCTTCCCCCGCACAAAACAGCAGCAGGGCCCCTTTTGTCGGAGCAGGACCCCAGACTCATCATTAGCACTGATTACCGCTGACCAGTTTGACAACCTTATTGACTGCGAAAAAGACTTTTTCAATGAGTCCCCGGTCGTCCTTCATTTCAGTAGGAACAGAAATATTCAGCCATTCTGTCCCTGCAATTTGAAAGGGAAGCAAAAAAAAAAAAAAGAAGAAGAAGAAACGCATCCCGCTTCCCTTCACTTGTTTTATTTCTCTCTGAAGAGATTTAGCTTCTGTGAAAGGCTTTTGTCTGTTTCAGGAGTTACTGTAGTTTAACTGAAATAGGATAGGAAACCAGGTGTTTGTCCCATCAGTTGGAAAAGTTCAACTTTAACTTCTGCTTTAATCCCATTTTCCTCACTTCACCATATTAACATTTAATTGTAGGCTATTTGTTCAGATTTAAAGTCTGTTTATGGTCCCGCAGGCTAATACCATAATACCAGGTAAATACACTGCTCAAGAAAATGAAGGGGACACTTAAAATCACACACCAGATCTTGATGAACAAATTACTCAAGTTGAAAACCTTTACTAATATACATTGTAAAATTTGTTCAGAACAAAATGACATAACAACGATCAATGGAAACCAAAATCATACACCCGTGGAAGGCTGTATTTAAATCAAAGTGAAACACTGAACCACAGGCTCATTCAAGTTGCTTGAGTTTCATCTCAGCAACTCATAATGTGACTCTGAAGGGTGTATGGCCGCCGCGTACCTTATGCACTCCCGATAACTTCTAGGCATGTTCCTGATGAGGTGAATGGTGTCCTGGGGGATTTTCTCCCAGACCTGGATCAGGGAATCAGTGAGCTCCTGGACTGTCTGTGGTGGTACTTGGTGGAGTCGGATGCACCGGTACGCAACGTCCCATAGGTGCACAACTGGATATAGGTCAGCGGAACATGAGGGTCAGTCAATGGCATCAATGCCTTTGTCATCTAGCAAATGCCTACACACTCTGGCCACATGAGACCGGGCACTGTCCTGCACCAGGAGAAACCCAAAGCCCACTGTGCCATCGTAAGGTCTGACAATTGTTCTGAGGATCCAAGGTAACGTTAGTGTACTAGAGGACGTCAGGCCCTCATGCCACTCTGATGGAGTCTGTTTCTAAGAGTGTGGTCAGAAGCATGTACACCAGTAGCTGCTGGAGGTCATTTTGTAGGGCTCTTACAATGCTCCTCTTGTTCCTCTTTGCACAGAGCAAATACTGGTTGGTTGCTCGGTTGTTGCCCTTCTAAGACCCTGTCCAGCTCTCCTGTTGCAACGGCAGGTCTCCTGGTATTTCCTCCATGCTCTTGAGACAGTGCTGGGAGACACAACAAACCTTGTTGCGACTGCACCTATGGTTTTGCCATCTTGGAGTAACTAGATTACCTGTGCAGCCTGATTGGGCTGCAGATACTGCCTCATGCGACCAGTAGTGACAAGGACACTAAACACAAAACTTGAGAAGAATCGGTCAAGAAGGGTAAGAAGAGTACATTTGTCTGGGGTCACCACAAACAAACCCAGTCCCTTTGCTTTTGCCTCTCCATTACACCTGTTGTCACCTTCATTTGCACCAAAGCAAGTGAAACTGATTCACAATCATTTGTGCTTCCCAGATGGACAAATTGACATCTCTTAAGTTTAACTGACTTGGTGTTATACTGTGATGATCGAGTGTTCCTTTAATGTTTTGATCGGTATATATTTAACAAACATTGTTTTAACTCTGGAAGAAAATATCACAGTCACAGGTTTAAGTTTTGAAGAGTGGTGCAGCCATATTGTAGCGAAAGCATCAGTCAAAAACAGCCTATTACAAATTATTATTATTATTTCTCTATATTAGCTTTACACCACTAGAGGAAAAATTATTTCGTGAATTTTGTGTTAATTTTTGGTAAAGTATCAACAAACCTGTATTTAAATAAAATTAAAAATCTACCAAAATGCCATTTTGTTCATAGTTTGAAGATAATACTATATGTGTACTTTAATGCTATAGGCTATACAAACCAAACAGAATAGCTCTGTTAATTTGTCCATAACAAATGTGGCCGTAGTCCTTTCGGCCTGATTACTAAATTAAAGCCTGGGTGTTTTGGGAACATGGACACTTGGACGTTTTAAGAAGGCCGTTTCCACAATGTGCTGTGGTTTGATGTCTACGTTCTGTCTCGCAGATCATCCGGGTTAGTGAGCCGGCCCCTCGGTGACCTCTCGCTGTCACCCCGCATTACAGGACGCACAGCGTGCTGGCCAATTAGGCCTGGCTCTAAACCCTGTCAGGAAATATGGCACTGTGGTGTTATAATCACGAAAGGTTCCCTCTCTATGAAAACAGCCAAGAGGATTTTATATAACAGTAGCCTACTAATATTTATGTTTTTCAATTTTATTAATCACTTTGTATCTTTTTTTTCCACAGGACAATCAAAAAAATAAGACTAAACTTTATTCTATCTTGATGAACAATTATTTTTTATTAAGTTATCTTTACTGTTTTTCTTTTATTGAAACACATTTTCACTAAAGCGCGCATGCTCAACAGGTCCACCTGTGTACAAGGTAAGTATTAAAAACACCAAGCAAATGAATATGAAATTCGAAGAGACAGAGCAGATCGTTTTAAATAGGCAAATAAACATTATTTATAAAACTTTGAAAGTAAAGTAAAAATATCACAGTTCTTTTTCAACATGAAATACCCACAGAGAACAGCAGGTTAGGCGCTCAGGTGCCTTCATCCTTTTCCCTCCTTTTTTCTTCTTCTTCTTTTTTATGCTTCACCTCGGCGTTGGTTTATTAGTCCGGGTAATATGAGTCGTCCGTATTAAGTTCAGTTATCCATGTGGGTTAAACGCAAAGAAAGGTATAGGCCTAAAAGGACAAGGACGGGCAGTCCCCCGCACGTCCCCTCGTGTTTTGGCAGTCGTGAAATATCAGTTCTTGTGTGTGTGTGCGTGCGTGTGTGTGCGTGTGTGTGTGTGTGTTTAACTCAACGCAGGCACTATAACTTGTTTTATTAGATTGTCTTTCACTTGTCTCGTATCCTCCGCTAACTCATCAACACCCTGGACGTGCCCGTCAGATGTCACATTCACTGTCGCTGGAGGTGATGGAGATGGCCGAGGCGGCTGCTTTGCTGGACAGACTGGCCTCCGGGCTGGACGAGCTCCCCAGGCGGTCAACGGTGCCGTCCTCGTCCGCCAGGGAGCGAACCGAGCCCCCGGACAGGACCTGCTGCTGAAGCCTGAAGGAGACACAGAGAGACGGGGCACATGAAAACGGCTGCTGCGCAGGGCGCCGGGTCTTGGCATTATACTCAAAACTACAACTTTTTTAATTCCTACAACCATGTGGAAAAAAATAGATGAGATATAAAATAGATCTAGCTGCAAAACAACTTCTTCCAAGGACGGTCTTGAACTGAGGGCCAATTCATTTTGTAAATGTGTATTTGGCTGCTTTTCAAAGGTAGTCTAAAAATCTCAGGAACAAATAGATGGTGGGAATTTATTCACTTCCATAAAACACATTTTAAAATTCACTTAGCAAAAAAAAAAAAAAAAAAAAAAAAAAAAAAAAACTGGCATTTTTGCGATGACCATGGTTGAAAAAAACATCAATTACAAAACAAATTACAATCACTTGTTCCATCATCTCATTAATTAACATATAGCCTAGTTTGTGCCACTCACTACAAGTAGCCACAGGAAAATTCTAGGTTAATTCTATAAAACTTGGCAATAGGCTACAGTGTGATCTCGACTTACACTGCAATAGGCCTTTGTACAAGTGGCAATTTCACCGCATTATCTTTTAAAATCCATTTTATGTAACACTGTAAGGCTACAGAGCCACTGGTCTACATGCAACAACAATTAAATAAGCATAAAATAACATGATCATAGCTCTGACATCCATGTTGTTCTTCAGTATTGTGTTAATCATATTCAGATAGAAATAAAACCTATCTTGATCTTTGTCCTCTCAATAGAATCCAGAATTACAGAATTAGAAAAATTGGATTTCCTTTTATATTTACTGCTGCCTGGCCACGTCTTCACTTCAACCACCTGAAAATAAAATGTCATTATGGACACCGAGAGCAGCATATTATTACAAAACCAAAGGCCCCTAATTTGGGATTACGCCATGGGTTTTAATCAAATATCCAGAGAACTGACGAGATATGAATACATTCAGACAACGTGGGTCACGGCCTGTTCTCCCTGTATTAAACTGACTGTAGCCTACAATATCACGATGCAGATCGACCAAATAATTTGTTCAGCTGTATCATGATCAGAACCACCCCAAGAGAAACACGTAGCTCACCTGTTCTTCGCAGCTGCTGCTCTGTCTCTTTGTCTGCGATTTTTGAACCAGTTTCCTACTTGTGTGGGGGTAAGTCCAGTAGCTTGTGCAAGCTCCCTCTTTTTACTGGGGTTCGGGTAGGGATCCTGCAAATACCATTCTCTTAACAAGTGCCGGGTTCTCTCCTTGAAGCAGTGGGTTTTCTGCTCTCCATCCCAGATGGTTCTGGGTAGGGGGAACTTCTTACGCACCCTGTATTTGTCCACCGGCCCCAGCGGGCGTCCCCGCAGCTTCTCCGCCTCCTGGTAGTGCGCTTCGAGCCACAGCGCCTGCAGCTTCGTGTGCGACTCTTTGGTGAACTTGTGGTTCTCCAGGATGTGGAAGAGCTCACGGAAATTTCCCGTGTGGAAGGCGACGACGGCCCGGGCTCTCAGCACCGACTCGTTCTTGTTGAGGACCTCGCAGGCCGCTGGTGCGACGGGCAGCGACCAGAGGAAGCGGCCGAGGCGCTCGACGTCCCCGCTCTCCTCCAGAGTCTCGCAGACCCCGGCGACCTGCTGGGGACTGAAATTCAAGATGGGCAGCTGAAACATGGAGGCTTCTCCTGTGTTTCCCTCTCCCCCTCCTTTCGCCTTTCTGTGTCGCTCCTCCGCGTAGAATCCTCCGCTTCTTTTCTCCGTGCTGCAAGGCAATCCAAGACACCCGAAAAAGACAAGGCAATCCCAAAGTTACCGAACCAATCGTCTGAGCAGCTGCGAAAATCAAACACCAAACCCTGGAGGAGCAACGATGCTGAGTGGGGGCCGGCTACCGCATCCTCGGGGTTGGCAAGTTTGGCGCGCAAAGGGCTGAAGGCGCAGAAAAATTAAAACCGGAGCCGCGACGTAGGCTATTTTTCAAGGTAGGCTGGGATACAAAGTAAGAAAGAATTAAAGCCGGATCCAAGATGCATATTTTAAGAGGGGAGAAAAGAAAGTCAAGCCCCCACTGATGATTTCCTATTGGACTTGGCAGATTGGCTGCACGGTTGCCATGGATGCACGTCACTCACTGTCAAGTTCGGCCAATCAGGCGGGAAAGGAGATCTCAGCGCCTCCCTTTTCAAAAATAATATTAACATTTTGACCTTTTTGCTTCGCGTCTCCAAATGTTTAGGAGACCCGCCGTGCTTTCCATACACCCTCTGTCTTTGTACGGCGGGCGGTGTCAGTCTATATAGTGAAGTGCCAGAGCAGGAAAACACGCTCAGCTCAGTCTCCCTTAGAGCTCTTGAAATGGGCTTTACACGGCAAAATGACACATCTCGGCTAAGAGCAGGCCTGCCCCGAGGCCACTGGATAATACTGGACAGGGTTACAACAATTTTATACAATATTAACACATTTGGTTGTTTGACCCAACATTTCATAGTGACCTCCTGAAAGGCTATAGTTTGAATCTACTATAGTCTATTCTCTTACAATATATATCATAAGCCCACAGGGTTTCTATGATGCTTCATCTTTTAAATAACATTAGGCCTGGTTCGTTTTGTAAGTCTAATATCCTTATAGCCTAAGTCATCAATGCTAAATCGTAAAATTATTTTAAAAAGGGTCAATGTGGCCTTTATTTCAGCAAGTATGTGAATCTGCAGCCAGCACAGTTTCGCGACCTTGAACAGAGTTAATCAAGGCTTCAGGCTATTTTCAATCTCCCAAAATCTTTATTTATAATTAACAATTAATGATATTAAAGCCTAAATTATAATGGCGCACGCTCATTTATGTGGGGCATGAATAAATGCTCGTTTTCTTTGAAAACAAATGCTAATTGATTGCTGTTGTACTGGCAGTTGAGCCCTGCAGACTGAAGCTCCAACAGCTTATATTTACAGTATGGTCGTAGCCTATTGTAGAGAGGCTGCTTCCAGGCTGTGGTGGCTGCAAACGTTAGGCTATATTTGTGTATACAGGATTATCACTGGCCCTGTCAGGCTACTCGGCTTTAGTATCAGACACACTCCTTTTTTTTGCACAGGCTGATTTAGTAAAGAAGACGGCGGATAGATAGCGCAGATGGTTTGAAGTGTCGGGTCAGATTATTTCATGGCTGGATACAGTAGTAAAGTTCATTCTGACGGAAAAGCCTGATATTATTTTCACAGACACACACACAGAGATGCGCGCTCTCTCTCTTCTGCATGCGCGCACACACACATACACTCGAGCTGAATCCCCTTCGGGCTCTTTTTGCATGAATTATAGACTCCTGATGCGGGGTTATGAAACGCCTTCTGCACAGGATGCTGTTCATTCTCCTGCTGCTTTGCTGGAGACCGCATCACCACAACGCACATTTTTAATAATGATCCTAATAATGAAGTGTTTGCATATCATCACTTCAAGTTGACGAGCGTCGCTTTGTTTAGCCTAATATCCTGCAGACAGACTGTCTGTCCACTGTGGAGGAGCAATGAACAGATTAACACGACTCTGTCTGTCGGGGTTGCCATTCTTTCACCCATATCATTATACCAACCGGTAAATATAGGTAAATAAAGGATAAGATCTCCATCAGATGCAGCAGTGGAGTAATCTTTAAAATATTCAGCTACCTGTAAATATTTCATCCCTGCAGGCTGCTCGTCCTAACCTAAATTTACAAGGACTGCAATAGTTGTTTTTTTTTTTTTTGTCTAGGAATCGCGCATAAATAAATTAGACGAGTGTGGAACTCTTAAACGGAGGGTGGAAATAACAAATGTAGGCTATGCTCCATAAGCAACACGTCCTCATAGGCGCCGTTTAAACATTTATATCAGGGGTAAAAGGTCTGAATGTGATTCTCCCCCCTTATGATTGTATTTTAAAGTGACTGCGCTAATAAACAGGTGGCTATGCTGGTGGAAGACATGGCGAACAGCCATATGGGCATTTTTTTTAAAATTCACTTACTGTTGTATTTAATTGCGCGTGTTTGTGGTGTAGCCTTCCTCATATTTTGTCTATATTTCATAGCCTTGTCATTCCACCTTCCGTATGAAATGATAAGTAGCTATATGAAGCCACTTTAGACATATTCAGACTCAGCTGAAGTGTAAGCTCTACTGTATGAGTCCAGGCCAATGTCACTCTGTCAGGAGCTGGGAGGCCTCCTGGCACCATTCTGCACAGCAACACAGTGGATCTCGTTCAAACACATTTCCATTCTTTTGTCCATTTGTCTCGTGGATCCCGCTGCCATCCCTGCAGCCAGTCTTTTGCCAGACAAGCCAGATTCTGATGCTCTAGGTTTCTGTATCAGACCAGTTGGTGATGGTTTTTAAATCTCTGCTTTTTCCAATAAAGGTTCCCTCTTTTATTTTTGTTCAAATAAACTTGTAGCTTCCTAGTCTGGAGATTAGTAAACAAAATTCAAGAGCAGGTGGACAAAATAATGGTAACACCTGACAATATAATCCAATTTAATGACCACTGGCGAACTCCAAGCTGTTGAGGATTAAAATAAAAAAACCTGTTTATCATTATGTACATGCAGGCCTTTTTAACAAAACTATTACACAACAGTACCCACAATACCATGAAGAATACTGAGGGCTCTGTAGCACTTTATGCAGCTCTTGTAGCTGCTGTAGCAGTAATGCCAGCTGATACAGCTCCTCCACTGCCCTTAAACCATTTGAAAAGATTATGTTCAAAGAGAAAAGGCTTCATACAAATTTGTTTCTGAAGGTGGTTCAATGACAAACAGTGACGTAAGAGGACTACAAGGTGGAGAGAGGGATGATACAGCACAAGAGGTGTGTAGCATCCTGCTGCAGATCACCTCCTTACTTCCAGTAAGAGATGAGTACATTTCTTTTGTGTCATCATGAGCATGTAGCTGGGTCGTAGCTGGGTCGTAGCTTGCCCTGGGCAGAGGGAGGAAAGGAGTGGGGAATAGTTGCATGTGAACAGGCTGGAAATGACCCAGATTCCCTAAGATCACTGGAGCAGATGAGATGCTACAAGAGCCTGCCACCAAACAGCCATCCTGTCACTATCCCATACAGACTCCCAGTACTTAATTTCTTTCCCTCTGCCCTCCCCCACATCATTACTGCTCTTCACATTCATACACCCACAGAGATGTATGCAAACATGCCTATGGGCACACCGAAGAGTTTTCTCAAACTAAAACACTGATAAATGCCAATCCGAACCTGAAACACATAATATCTCCTTATTTTGAATGTGTACTGTTCTGTCTGTGTGGACACTGGGCCTGATTAAAGCACTTAAACAGCACCAAGAGAAGGCAGCCAATGGTGTTAAACCATGACGCACAATACTAACGAATGCTGTTACTGTAGATGGAGGATGCAAAGTGTACGTACGCAGGCAGCTTGTTTGACTTCAGCGTTTTGCTGGCTTCTCTTTGCACCACAGACTGCTTTAACTTAACTTAGCTATGCCAGCACAGGATTAACTTATCAATTAAGATATCATGTCAATAACACCACCCATTACCTCTGGATGACGTGGATGTATTTAAAGATAAGGCTCATACAGCAGACTTGAAGAGAAGTCACTTCGCTCACACATCGCCTCGTGGCTCCACAGTGGAAGGAGAGTTAAGCTAAAGCTTCTCTGAGAGCTGCTCCCTCAGACCCATTTGCCCTCGGGACAGCACTAGCTCTCGACGCTGCGTTTAATCTGTGGATTTGTGGTAACAGAGAAGACTTCTTATCCCTTGACCCAGTGGCCCCCACTATATGTAATCCAGTGCCTTTCAGTCACACAGCCCTGCTGACATAAAGGTGGCCTGATACGCCGAAGCAGTCACAGCCAGCCTTGTCTGGACACATGTACTATACTCTTCTCTCAAGCTTATGTTTCACAGGGAATACACTACACAGCACAGCCAGACCGCTGTTATTGTATTCACTGCACATGATATGTGGCTGTATATCCAGTAAGTCGATTCACATTCCATAATGCCCATTTCAATATTCATAATGGAGCGTTTGATCTCAATGCTGTTATGAAAAGAGTCATTTTAGCAACAGAACTGTGCATCTTTTACACAGTGAGGCCATACAAAAGCAAGAGTGCCATTACACCTCGATCAAAGAGAGCTTCTCTTGTGCAAACCTCTGCAGTGCTCAAGCAGTGTGCAAGGCCTGTAAATGTAACCTCACTGAATCCTGCTACTGTCAGGCAGCATAAAAGTATGATCCTATATCAAAGGTTTCCCAGAATCTCCATGTTTCATCCTCCTTGCTAACAAACAACACGGTGAGATTGAGCCTCTAATCCTTGGCAGAAATCCATTAGGAGTACCTTGAAATCTACTCTTTAAAAAACACATTTACAGAGCAAGTTATAAAATGCAAGCAATTATTACTGTACATCCATTTCACTCTTGAATCCAGTCAATTTCTGGCCAGATAAAGGGCTAAATGAAACTAGGGAGAGTGCAGTTTGTACACCACCCTGCTATATATTATCTGTGTTTGTGAGTGTTTGTGTAAGAGGTAGAGTAACAGAGAGCAGAAATTGCAAATGAACAAATGCATGCATCACCTACAGCACTTGCACAACAAAGTGATTGTGTGCGTGAGGCAGCATTTTGCTGTTGGAGCTAAAAATGCCTATCTGGTAAATTATGAACAAAGAATCCTCTGTTCACACACAGCCTGCTTGAAATTGAAACTGAACACAGCAGTAAGTGATTTTCCATATACACAACATACATAAAATTGGGATCCAGTGGTGCGTTTCTCTTTTCAATCACTGCTGTGTTTTCAGTCACGCTGCACTGAGAACATTAAGTGCAATGGTGAATGAATGTAAACTGTCCAAACTCAGTGTTTTCTAATGTCCAACTGGTTGTCAAACTTGAGTACTGCATGAAAAAGATTTACCAAATTTAAAAAAACTGAATGTAATTTATTGATGCATCTGGGAAAATAGGTGGTGAGGGAAATAGGCTGATTGAAGGCTTGGTCTGTGCAGCCACTCACACACTCTC